CTCAAGTATTCTAAGTGGCCTTTATTCCACTGCTATGGAGTTCTGATCGGGTCCCTCTCCTTCATAGTAAGTCTATAGGATTCATCTTGAAATCTCATCTTGATCTTCAGAAATCATTCTCATATGCTGATTTATTATCAGTGCTGGAAACAGTGAACAGCATTTATTCAAAATATAAATATTTTCTAACAATATAAGTATTTATTATCACTTTGTATCAATTTAACACATCCTTGCAGAATAAAAGTATTCACTTCTTTTACAAAAAGAAAGAAAAAAAATTACCCAAACTTTTGAACAGTAGTGTGTATTGTTACAAAAGGTTTACATTTTAAATAAATGATGAGCAGAAGAGACTTCTTTAAAAGACATTACAAACCTTACTAATCCCAAAAGTTTGAACGGCAGTGTATATATTTATATATACATTTATCTGGAGTGCATGATCTCAGAATGTTTATTGGTATATCTTCCAAATAACACATTATTATGAACTTAATTCAAATGAAAATTATTCATATGAAAATTCATGCAGTCTCTTCTGCAGCTCTTTCTCAGGAGATATGTTCATTGTTAGAGAACATTGTCAGTCAGAGGGCTGGGTTTTTTTCAGCTTTTATTCAGGTATGCGCTCCAAAAATGGATAGAGATTTTCTCCCCATTCTTATTCCTATGCAATGTTAGGGTTAGGGTTAATGCTAAAGTGCTAGTTGACTCTTACCTGGAGGTCTAACTCTATTGGAACTGTCTCCTTATTTTGGCCGACTTTCAGAGGAGTCTTATTTTTGCAGATAGTTGATCAGCTGCTGCTTAGGCTTCCCTTGCATTTTTGCATGGCTCTACAGAGTCAGTGTAGCTGCGTCTTGTTCTGTGAGTTTGCAGTAGCTGTATTACTGAAGTCTGTGAATTATGTACGGTCGTCAGAGTTTTCTGTCATCCAGAATGCACAAAACAAGAAAAAGGCTGAGTGCCGAGCCACTTTGGTGTATATTTATCATAATTTGGCCACCATTACCGCGTGACTTTGTTTTTATATGCTCTCAACATACCAGACTAAAGTAGCAGATATTCATTATATCTATCCATATCCATGCTAAGACCTGCCTGCAGAATTCAGTCACCTACATAACCAGCGTTTTTATTCTTGGACCAACAGCATTTACTCTTTTGCCTGTGTGTGTGTGTGTGTGTGTGTGTGTCTGTGAATTGTGGGCACTTTCCATAGACTTCTCTTACTTTTATACTGACCAAACGATATGTTCTATCCCCTAACCCTAAACCTACCCCTTACAGAAAACTGTTTGCATTGTTACACTTTCAGATAAACATAATTTACTACTTTTAATTATTTTTTTGGCATTTGGTCCCCACAATGTAGCATAAACAAGTACAAACGTGTGTGTGTGTGTGTGTGTGTGTGTGTGTGTGTGTGCATCTCTCTCTTCACCTGACTGTACAACCAACACTCATCACTCCAGTCACAGTGCTGCTGTTCTGTGATGATTCACCACTGACCTTTTTCTCAGATTCAAATCCCTGCTGACAGCAGTTCGGCTTCAACATTTCTCACCATATCATCATAACTATATCACACACTAGAGGGGTCTAGTAAAGTCAAATTGACTAAAGTCAATTTTAAAAATAAATGTTAAATGTTCCATTCATCATTTCCACATAGCAAATATGCCTTGTATAATTCATAAAATTATTATTTTTTATTATACAACTTCTGTAAATGCCTTACAATTAAAACAATAATACTGAATTGTAAATACAAGGAAAACGTTTTTTAGTAGAGTACATTGGTGTCATTTGTATGTGGGACATGGCACCACCACTTTTTGCCAAATTGCACAGAAAAGCATCCCCAATCCCTCATACTTCATAACTTAAATCATACATGTAACATGAAATATATTTGTGCCAGACGTGTTCTGTTATGTACAGGACAGGACATCTAATTACTGCACATAGTTTGGTTGGTATAGATGTATGTACAGTATTTAGGTTGATTAGGCAATATTAAATAATATTTTGACTTGATTAAAACCAGTTAGATGTTAAGTTGTTATCAAACCATGTGCTTCAGGATAACGTTAGCCAGATGACAGCAAGATATTTTACTGTAGATAAATATCTCAAATCACAATGCGACAGTGAGTGTGTAAAGTGAATGAGTGTAAACTGTATGAATTAAAATGAGAGCCGCGCTGCTGTTTCTGATGTGCAGCAGCAAGTGTGTGAAATTTTCAGGGCAACCTACATTGCACGCCGATTTCCTATAAGGGCTTTGCAGAAAAGCTCACTTGAAACTTGAAATCAGGTAGAAATAGCTCTCTAAGGTAACAATCGCAGGTCACAGTTTTTTGTGGTGTGAAATCAGGGGCGTTTCCTCCGAGGAGGCAACGGAGGCAGTGTCTCCTCAAAAAATTGGATGAGACAATAATAGACATTACAAAAATAAAACAACGCAATTATTACTAAATATGACATTAACTTTTTCCATGCCAGCATTTTTGAAAAAAGTTGCCAGACACTTGCCAGCATTTTTGCTGATTTTCACAAAAATTTCATGGCCCCCAGAATATTTTCTTGTGTGAATATCTGAACATACAATACATCAAAATAAAGATCAGACCCTCTACTTTCAAAGTCTACTCTCTACCCTCTACTGTTTTATTCTAGCTTCAAGCATTGTTTTTTATCAACACTTGGATGTAGGTTTCATAAAAAAAATCAAAATTTTTAGCAAAAAGCTGAGAAAATCGTATTTTTATAAAATTTTATCAAAGCCTACTACATCTGGATCATATTCAGTAATATTATCAAAGCACAGATGCATGGCTTCCATCAGCACTCCCAAAGCTTGCACAGGCCTTTACCACTTTCTAGATTGACATTTCACTCTGTAACATTAGGCAGTTTTCATTTATACACGGTTAGTGTTGATGATCGCATTATTTTTCATATGCTTACATATGAGAACGCTGGTTTCTGCATCTTCCTCTTCCTGTAAAAATGCATAAAAACACTACAAAATGTATGATTAATATTAAAAATATGAAATAAAATAAAAAATAATATTGATAAAATATAAAGTAAAATCATAAAAATTATTTGTTTTCTCTTTTTATATAATGTTTATTTAACCAGGAAAATGTGACAACATTACAGGGACAGGGACATGAATTTATATATATATATATATAAATATATAAATAAAAACTACCTCTTCATTTTAAAACACCACCACACGGCACTGAGAGAATTTTTTCATAATTTTTAAGTAATGAGATTTGTGTATTCATGTGAGGTTACTGGACCTACAATATTATTGGTTAGATTTGACTGTTAAAGTCAATATGTGACCCTGGCCCACAAAACCAGTCATAAGGGTCAATTTTTTGAAATTGAGATTTATACATAATATGAAAGCTGAATAAATAAGCTTTCCATTGATGTATTTATATTGCATTTAATGCACTAAGAAGTGTCTAACAGTGCTCTGAAGATACACGTTTTGTCAGTATGTGTGTTAAGAATCGAACCCATGACTTTGGTGTTGGCAGAACCATACTCTACTAGTTGAGCTGCACTAAAATATATGTGTACAGTAAACAATGTGTTCAGGGATTACATCTAGTAAGTAGACATTTTTGCACTGACTTTCAACTGATTTATTACAAAACAATCCTACATTGAAATTTAATAAGAATCACAGCTAATAGAAAAGTATTGGAATTCTAGCACAAATAGTGCCCTTTCCTGAGAATTGAATCAACAACGAAAGCCACACCGGCATTCAGAACAAGACACAGCCTGTTATTAAAAGATGAGTGTTTGTGTATGTGAACACAAACCATGATTACCCACAATCCCCTGCTGCTGCTGAACTCCCGCTCAGAGCTCAGTTAATGGAGCAGTCACGTCAATCTGAGCCACCATACACTGAACTAATGCTATATTTACACACACTGCAGCTGCCATCTATCTCCACATGGAGCATACACTCGCTGTCAATAAAATCATCATAAAATCTCATCTGGAGTGGCTGTCATTCAGACAACACTCCCCCACATCTAGTCTTTACATGTCAGGGACTTTGCAGAGCTATCTTAAATAGGATCTACATGTCAGTGTGAATTACAATATAAAGTTCCCACAAGTGTAATGAGAGATTAATTATGTTTTTTTTTAAATACATATGATAAATCACAGTGAAATGGGGTGGGGCAATGACCCATGACATTTCTCTTTCAAAAAAATCCTGCAACATTTTAAATATTTTGGTGTTTGGAATATTACATGGTGGAAGACTGTAGAAAATACTGGCACCAATAGTTATTGTAAAACATTTCTATGTTGTGCTGCTCAAAGCATATTTGTTGTATGAGGTCAAGTTAATGCTAAATCCGAACATTTGTGTATGCTATATTTGTGTAAATATTTGCTGACAGTGTTTCTTCTCCTTACATACTCTATTTTTCTTTGCATTATTGTGTCAATTCCAGCACCCCTCTGCACTATTTATAATAAAAGCATTTTATATATATATATATATATATATATATATATATATAACAATTTATTCAAAATAATTGTCATGTTTGAGCTTCATAAATGACCCCCAGTGTGTTTTCATTTAACCCTCTGGTGCTCCTCACATGTCAGTGAAAAATGACTAAATTTGTATTATTTTTAATTATGTTAGTGTACTATATGTTGATAAGGTTTTTTTGTATTTTTTGGTACTAAAATTTATGGAACAGTTGATCCATTTGTCTTTTAACCACTTATAAAAAGTATAGACCTTAAACTGTCTTAAATCATGAATGCTTTGGAGTACAAAAAAGTATAAAAAAAAAAAAAAAGAAATAGAAGTTTATGAAAAATGCACAAAAAAATTTTTTTTTACCCTGACCCTCATGACAGTGTGACTTTAGCACTGAAATACGTCTCGGGCTGCCGCTGTATGAGTTCTTTAAGTGAGAGAGACCCACCGTGGTGTACTTGCCCAGCTGGCAGAGTGAGGGAAACGTCTCTTGGTGAGCTTTCTGTATCTTCTCGATGATGGTCTCTAGTTCTGCTGTCATCTCATAACTCTCGGCCAACTCCTGCTTTGGAATCTCCTTTTTCTTCTTATTCCTGTCATTCCGGACAGCTGAGAATGCAAAACAAAAAAATTTGGGACCAACAATTATTCAGACACTTCGACCTGACCATGTTTTGTTTAAGTGTTTTTTCTTTAATTGCTAATGCGAACTTTTTACACCACAGACTGAACAAAATTAAGCATCACTTGGTAATTTGTTGACCTAAAGTGGTATTATCTAATTGTGTACTTACATTTAACAGCTGACAGCTATCCAACCTAATTCATTATCAAAGTTATCTAACATTATCAAGATGAATTTGTTCTGACACAGTTTAACTCTAAGTTCTTATCATATTTTATTACCATTTTCTAAACTATAACGAATAAACTGTGATAATGTGAGAAATGTTGAAAGTGTCTGAATACATTTTGGTTTGACTGTATACATATACTGTATATAAATCAATTCTACAACCAACTAACTTGATGATTTCTTCAGATTTGGCCATAATGAGATATCATAACTATGCTGCCTACTGCATATTTTGCCCATATGTCTTTATGCCAGGAGTATACTTATGATACCTTACAAATGCTGCCTATAGGGTGTTGCTTGCTAGATTTTTGGAAAAGAGCTAAAATGTATAAAATAAGATGCACAGTACACAAATTATTTTATTAATATGCCTAACCTTTATTAATATGGCAAAACCTTCAGCAAAAGTTTTGTTTTATTTAGTTATTTATTGAAGATGCGATGAAAATCTACACCTACATTGGAAATTACAGTATATCAAACACGAGCATTACAGGGAAAAAAAATCATGTGCAGCACTGTACTAAATGTCAATGTGAGCAGTTTCATTTTTGAGATTTAAAAGAGAAAAAGAAACTCTTCAGTAATAGTTGTCAACCTCACTATTGTTATACTATGTCAGCACATAGTCACACAATATCAACAATGGAAAATTATTGCAGAATCGAACAGAAATGTTCTTTGCAGTTATAAATATGCTTCAATCCAAAGACTTCAGTAGGCTGATCCCCACTTCAAAAGAAGCATCGCTGTCAATGAAAGTGCAGCGTTTGGTCACGTCACATCATATTAGAGGCGTGTTATGAGACAGCCTTGATCTAGCCGAGGCGTTACAAACACTAAAGCTTCTATCTGTTAACACTGCGTATAAATTCAATGCCACGCCAGACACAGTGCACTGTGCAAGTGAATGTTGCTGGACTGTAGCGGGTTATTTACAGTCAGCGTTGGGAAGGTTACTTTGGAAATGTAATAGGTTACAGATTACAAGTTACTCTATTTAAAATGTAATAAGTAGAGTAAATATTTCAATTACTTTATTAATGTAACTGATTACATTTGATTACTTTTCTAAATGTCTAATGAATGTTGTCAACTGTTAATCATTTGGAAACATTTAAAGCAGGCAGGTTTAACATTACAGTAGTACTCAACACTGATTACTGTCAGACTTTCAAAAGCCTTCATCACTTGAATTAAGATTATAATAATGTAAATATAAAAACTGAAATTAGTACTGGGTCAAAATCAAGGTCAATAATTCACCTCTGTCACGGGAAAACTAATGTACCCCTAATGTGTATAACAATTACGGCCCTTAAACAAACAAAAAAAAAAAGATACCTGTTTTGAAGATCAAATGGCTTTTAATGAGAATAATGCATAACACAAATATTGTATTTGTACTCCTCGAACATATCCAATACTGTAGCTTTCTTTTGCACTAAACCAAAGACTCCTACAGCTCCATGCAAATGTTCCACAATATGGGAACGTAACAAATACTGTGGCTTCCATCCCGTCGGCACAGCATCAAACCGCATCTGTAGACGTATGTCAAGGTCGATGAAGCACACTGCTCTATTATTCAGCTACAAGCTGGAGCCCAGTCATCGGCCAGCATTATTAATCCAGAAGAGGCTGATGAAGTTCGCACTGCTGCTTGAGATCATTAAGGAGAGAACACCTGGTGTTGTGGAGGGCCGTCTGGGGACCGTCCTGTTTCATTAAGCCTCGGAGGGGCTCATCTTTGAAGCTGCTCTCTGCAGGAGAGGAGTCTCAGACAATACAGACAAAACAAGGCAAAGATCTTTCTCAACAACGCCAACCCTAAATCAGACCTCCGCAAACAATCCTGATGAAATTCAAAGCAAGTTCGGTCGGCCGCTGTTGTTATTGCAGTCCCCCAGAGAGACTGTAGCAGCCATGGCTGATAATGAAACTGATACCAATTTTCTCACATATCTGCCCTAGTAAAAGCAGAGGTCCTTAAAAAGATTTATATTAGAAGAGATTTATTTATAAGGGCTCTAACAAGTACTGACCTAATTACAACAAATGATTAATATGGTACTTTAAGTAGGAAGATTGTTGCATTGTTAAAAGTAGAAAAGAGTACACTCATATAATTATATACAGTGTATTCAGAAAGTATTCAGCCTTATGCAAATACATTTATTTATTTATTTTTACATCAGTCTACACTCCATATACCCCATAATGACAAAGCAAAAACCAGACTTATGATAACTTTGAAATTGATTCTTTCTCTCTATAAGAAATAAACTGAAACATCACATTGACACATGCACTAAACTTCTTTGCAGTTTTAACAGTTAGCTCAGCTGGGTCCACTGATCTATAAGAGAGAACTTGATTGCTCATAACATCATAACAAGTAAAGCCACTGCACCACCACATTGGTATTCTCCATAGCATGCCCATGCATTCTGCTGAATTACTAGTAAATCATCTGATTTTAATTAGTACAATTGCTCACTTTTATTTTAAGGTCCAATTCTCGGTATTAACAAACCAATAACTATGACTTTTGCCTCAATAAACTCCTCTAATTTGCTGCTTATTAATAGTTAGTAAGGTAGTTGTTAAGTTTAGGATTAGGGATGTAGAATATGGTCATGCAGAACATGTGCTTTATAAGCACTAATAAACAGCTGATATGTTAATAATAGGCATGCTAATAAGCAACTTGTTAATAGTGAGAACTGGTCCCTATACTAAAGTGTTACCATAAACTTTCCCTAACAAGTCCCCGTTCGTCATTTATATTTATTACAATAGTGAACATCAGATCAGCAGACGTGTGAGACTCCTTAACACATGTATTACTGTAAAAACGTCAAAGTGTTTATACTGAAATCTGAATGAAGATTTATGTTAACCATATATACCTTAGTTTGGCCTACAGTTAATCACAGTGGATAGTTGGTTATGTTTTGTAATATGACATTGTTTTTATTCAAACGGTGTCTGTAAATGATTAAACAATGATTTCATTAACAGCATGTATTCATCTGTGAGATGTAACTATCGGAGTAAATATGAGTAAATTCAATAGATTGGACAACTGATTTGGAAAGACATAAGCCGTAAGAGCTGAAAATGTCTATTGAAGCAAAAATCAAGCCTTTAGGCCAAAAGAAGTCTCTGCAGAGCTCAGAATCAGGATTGTGTCAAGGCACAGATCTGGGGGAGGCTACAAAAAATCTGCTGGACGGAAGGCTCCCAAGACTACAGTGGCCTCCATTATTCTTAAAGGGGTCATCGGATGCCCATTTTCCACAAGTTGATATGATTGTTTAGGGTCTTAATGAAAAGTCTGTAACATACTTTGGTTAAAATTTCTCAATGGTAGTGTAAAACAACACCCTTTTTACCCTTTTCAGAGCAAGCCATATTGTTGCATGCCGCTTTAAATGCAAATGAGCTCTGCTTAGGGATGGGTAGATCGACACCTAGTGTCGACACACGTTTCGAGTTTTTGACACACTAGTGCTTCGAAACAGTGTTCCGGCACACTGCTTGAAATGAGGCTGTCACATGACCTGTGAAAACGAAGTTTTGTTAGCTCACTGACACGTCACGCTAGGCTCAAATACAAAGCGTGTCGATTGCGCTGTCCCATACCCGCGGCCCATTTAGTGCAATGTTATAGTTATATCAGTCAGCATGCCTATATGTATTGTGGCGAGTTGCCAGCAGCTCATCATATGTCTCCCCTGGTAACAAACACAATGATGGCAGTCAGCTGGGAGTCAATCATCAGTCAATCTCCTAGACAAGGCTTTAAACCTCAGTGGAAACAGAAGAGGGAGAGATTCTTCTCTAGACTGAAGCTAACACTTGTGCTTTTGTTTCTTTTCCAGAGAGTGACTGAAAGAAGTTTGCTGTTATGGATCCTCCACAGGCAGATCGCTTCATATACTGATTCCTGCCTGTTCAGAAGACTTTCACCCACTCTCAGCTGGACCACAAACACTCTTTCACTGGCGAACATCCATAAGGATGACTACTTCAATGAATGTACTGGAGGAGTACAGTCAAGCTTCCCCGGGCTGGTTTCCTTGCGTTTGCTCACTTGTAAATAAACACACCCTCCGGGTTGAACTTATTTCCTCGTGTCAGTTCTCCTTTTTCCCCTCAGGAACCCGCTACATTGGTGGAGAATGTGGGCAAGGCGGAGCCTAGACAGCACAGTTGGGCAACACCTGATGATGTCATCCCCTCTCGCTCGCAAAAGTTCATGAAAACCCGCACTGGGACGGAGGAACGACGGGGACGGCCTCCCAACCACAATATGGGTAAGTGATGTTTCTTATATTGCCATTTACCCTGTGGTTGGTTGAGGCTGTCGACAAAAACCCGGTTTCTCTGTCCCTGTTCTGGTGCAGTGCGAGAGGGAGAACTGCCCGGAGAGGAATCCACGCCCCATCCCGCCGGATGTGGCGAGTCGGCTGCCTCCCCCCTAATTCTCATCATCACCCTGTCCCTTAATCACTGCCCTTCGCCAGGCTCTCGACAGGCGTGAGTGCATGAGAGAGGAGGGGTGCAGAATCATCCAGGTCTGGCGGCGTGTGATGAGGCACACCTGAAGAATGGAGCCTCGTCACCACTGCTGTTAAATGCCGAGCGCGCCTCTCCTCGAGAGACCGGTCTTTTCCCCGTGCATGCAAGTGCAAGTTGTGTCCTAGTGGGTCCAGGAAGGGTGCGTAGAGGGATTCCTGCACCG